AAAAAAAAAACACACATTGTAAAATCAATACATTCATCACTTCGTTCAGAATCTAAAACAAATGTCGTTTGGTTCTAGCGGTAATAAGTAAATAATTACAATAGTTTATTGGAGTCGGTCGCTAGCAATAAAATATAAAATGTGTAGATAAATTAATAATTGAATAAAGGTTATCTAGAGCCTACGCAATCCAAATAATATGGTTATTAACTAAAATTATAGCAGTTTTATAATTTTGAAATTGTCCACAAATATAATTCTGTCGACTTTGTAATATTTATTGTAAATTGTAATAATAGGTGACGTCCAACTGCACTAATGCTATCAACGTGGTCTGTGATGTTTCAGATCCGATTGTATATGTGTATTTCTTATTGGTTATTAATTTATTATATTAATACTACTTMTATTATGATCTAAGATATTATAATATTATATTATACCAATAATTACACGTTTCGCATTTTCTAGTCGATGACGAAGATATTAATATTACCTACATTATCACCGGGAAGTCGAAATTTTTGACTAAACAATAAAATGACCGTAATAAAATATAATAAACAATAATTTATAGCTTTATAATAATCGCATATTGCAGAAAAGTATACCGCGTGCGTGCGAGTGAGTGAGTGTCGAGTGTGTTGCGTGCGCGAGCTGCGTTTTTGCGTGTGTGCGCGCGCGATTACAATCTCCCTCTAATTTATGCAATGGCAATAATAATTCGCGACGTTRACGGCGGTAGTAGGGATATTTAGTGAACCAAGGCAGAACGGCACGGCGGTGGCGGTGGACTCGGCTGTCAGTGCCGATTCTGTGGAGTGTCTGCGCCAACCGAAAAAAAGCACAGGTCCACACACGCAGACGAGAAACACGAATAATAAAAAAAAATTCAGTATAATCATACACGCACAAACGAATAATTTTTGCGAGTGTGTCGTCGAGTAGTTGACGAAGACGACGACTTAGCCACTACGCTACATCACATTACAGCGACGACGACGCCGCCGAGATCGTGTCCCTGTGCTCGCGGGTGTCTGAAAATTGAATAATAATAATATCAATTATTATTATTTATTTTTTTATTCTCTGCTTGTGTGTGATTTCTTTGCGTGTTTCAAAGTGTGGTGTCGCGTGCGTACGTGGTTCCTCAATCCGTTTCGGTGGCCGCGGACGACCACAGCAGACGGACGCACGAATATCGAGAATTTTTAATAATATTGTCGTAAATTGTATAATTTATTTTTTGTTTTTTGAAATACATACGCGTGTTTATGTGTATATTTATAAATAGACACATATATTTTTACACCACGTATGAGTTCATTGTAAACATAGATTAAATTCGTCGTGTACCCATATATCAAGTCACGATCGGACGAAAAAATATCATATCGCAGAGAAGATATTACAACTATATATTATAATAGTACCTACTGTTTTTATTATTAATTTTATGTAATAATTTTTTTACACATATATATAATATATAATATTGTATATGAGTTTATTTTGTTTAAATACACACGTCTAATATAAAACACTCCGCTCTTTTTCCAGGACTCGAATACAGCCACTGAGCCTCCGCCGCATTACCAAACTGAAGACACTAGTCAACACTACTGGAACGATAGGTGGCAAATCAGCAGCAGCGTCAAAGATTGTTACAAGGAAGTAAGCTCTCGACAAAACACACACATTTTCATCCCCGTTGGTTTCAAGAATCTAACTATAACTTATCGAGGCCAAAAATATATACTTTAATTTATTATAAAAAGATAATGATAAATCACAATAATTTATAAAAATTACAAGTCTTCGTTTTGCTGGGAAAATAAGCTTGATCTGTGATAGTGTTATTTTTTATTTAAATACTGTTTTTAATTATCATTATTATTGCGATCACAAATAGTGTTTATCGTTTTTATTTTTTATTTCGCTTCTTAAAGTTATTGAGAAAACAACTAATAAAATGCCTCAAAGTGCGGGCGTACTTACAAACTCTGTTATGATARCTTTAATCCTACTGATCAGCTCCTTGTGTGGATGTTGGAGTACTGATGCGGATCAACATGTTGCTTCGTCTCCCACATGTGACAGGTAAGATAGGTCTCAAATTGCATTTTTATTATCTTCCATTAATTGCATCCATTTGGTACAGATAATTTAATATTATTGCTTTAATTAGTGTACACTATAAATTGCTAACATATTGAACTTAAAAATGATGATGCCCAAATTATCTCTTAGCTTCATATTAATATTCTAAAAATAAAACTCGCCGTTTATAAATTTGGAGGATAATAATGTTGATTGGCCTTCCTTGCGCGAGTTATTTAATATTCCATATCTCGTTTGTGCTCCTATTCTCGTTATACTCTATTTCATAATCATAATTAAATAATTTGGTAATTAAATGTCCCAAATTCTTAAATTTAATCTTAGATTCATCTATATCCACATGAGTATTTTACGGTTACAATATTTATAAAAGTAAAACAACATATTATAGGACATGGGTATAATATTTACAAATAACAGTTGTAACTAAAATTCGTTAATTTAGTAATAATTATAAAAATAATTCTAATTTGTCAATCTCAATTTAGTTCCTACATAATGCTATATAGTGTAATTTGCATATCATACATTTTCTCCTTAATCCTTTAATATCTGGCGTTTCATTGCTTATTTTTATTTTAAGATTATTATACCTAAGTATATAACAGGTAAACGCCATATTGCATAATTTCTTTCTTTTTCTTTGATAAGGCTAAAAACAACATTATATTAGTTAAAGTGGTAAATTAAATAAAAAAATTCAGTCAATCTCGCCGAATAAATTTTTATATATAACTAACGAGTTGGCCTGTTTATCCCCTCCGGGACATCCCGGGACGCCCTGTCTGGTAACTTTAAGTTGTTTTTTTTTTTACTTCTCCTTTCTAGGCGATCTCTGCCTATACATTATAACTTGTTTAATACGAACCAGCTCCCGCATTGAATTAAAATATTAATTCAAGGTTTGTATATGATATTTATCTTGGCCGTCACTTGTTTTTAGTGTACATTTTAATTTCAATTCGAAAATTATACATTAACGTATTGCAAACACGTTCTCAGAGAATTCTATACAATGTGGTCGTTTTTTATATACTTATACACGATTTTTAGAAGATAACTAAAATTATTATTTTTTTCTTCAAAGAATTCCCAATAATTTTTGGTGGTACTTATAGTATACCTATTTTAAGATGAATTCGTACTTAATCTGCTTTCCTTGTTGTCAAATCACGTACATAGAACTCGTTTTACTTCTGACGTCACCACGTAATGTACAAAGCTAGACAATAAAATTATCTAAAATTAATCTCATGTCATTAAAATGTAGAGTAATTATTATTCCGTGTTTTGTTTTGTAGTTTCTATTTTGGCATTTATATTGATTGTACSACGTTTTTATTTCTTTAGTTACTATATGAAATATTTTAACATTATTATTTATATTATTATTATTTCCGTAGCTTACATAACATACATTTTATTATTTCCACCCAAGTCTCAACAGATAATGTCTCAATAGACGCATGATGTATGAAAAAAAAAATGTCATTATATTGTATTATACTAACAATATCAGAAAAAATCTAATCACGTTTTTAGTCATCTCGTATATCGACATATCATAAACTTATGTTAATAGTATTTGATGAAAATTAGTTATAAAAAATTTGATAGGTGGGGTATAAGCATACGGATCTTGTGCAGTTTTGGTGAATTTTTAAAACTTTGATTTCCCTGGTAAGTGGTAGGTATATTTGTTGTTTGTTAGTTATCAATGTAAATTCATTGAATTTTAATCGTAAAAATTAAACTAAACTTTTATAATTTTATAAGGCTTATTGAAGAATTTTGTGACAAAATTACTTATTTCTTTTACGAGATTATTTCGATTTTGTGGCGTGATTTCAGGTCCCATCTATTTATACCGTTTTGCTTTTTTTTCATACTCATGTTCACAAATATTTTGGCAAGATTACAAAGATTTACCCTAGTGTCAGTAGATTTTTCTCTCAATCTTATGTCATTCAAACTTCCCGCGCCCTGCTACATTAAAAAAAAACCTAACTAGCCGGTACATTTACATTTACAATACAAGCAGTCCCTATTTAGTATTTATACGACGACAATGATGTGCTCTTGCTTATTATCAAAAAATAACTACAATAAGAATTTACCGACCATCATCGAAAACTTTGAAAAAAAAAGTATTAAAAGCGACCGTTTACTTTACAGTTCGTGTTCTACAATTTCCATACAAGAATTCTCGAATTTCGGGGTCTTGGACGTGCGACAAAATATGAAAGCATATATTATCAGAATAGCATATTAAGCTAAAACAAAAATATTTATTATTACGCCAGTCATCCATACGTGTGGTATTTATCAATACAATGATATGGCTTTATGGATAATAATAATTTTTACCTTTTCTCTCTCTCCATCATTCTCTAAATTCAATTTAACACCGGTGAATAGTCGCACAGCGTAGTACTATTTGAAAGTGAATTGTGTAGGTCAAATTATTCGAAATCGGTTCCATTGATTAGTGTTTGGTCTATTAGTTCCAGCGATCATAATAAGTTACGTTTATGACTGGCTTATTGTTATTATTAGGCACTATTAATCGTATAATATAATACAAATTCTACAACACTATCTATGGCTATATTATATGCATTATTTACCTGCGCGTGCCAGTGATTTGTTTTAAAATCTGCGCACGGTTATCGTTCGATATGCCTAGTATATTTACATGGGTGTACATAACATATTATTATTGTTATTATCATCTACATGCCTATGTTATAATAACAATAATTGTCATTGGCTTCGCGATGCGTTCTTCCAGAATATAATAGTACATAATATATATATATATATATATTTGATCTCTGGCGTTTGTTATTTTACGTTATTTTCGTTTCACGGACCTAGGATGTAGGTCATAAAAAAAAAAATAATAATAATTGCGTGTGTACACATTATATTCCTATGTACTGTTATTTATTATTCGTACCTGTGTCTGTATGTGTTTCGTCTTGTGGCGCGCGCGACATAGGTAGTGTCTAACGAAATAGCTGTGTAAGCTGTATATTGGCAACCCGTCAATTACTCTGTATGTGTGTGTATGATAGAGAAAGACTGAGAGACCAGAGTTACATATGGCTGCTCGCCGCCATCGTCGTCGATAGGCAACACTGTTCTAATCGGTGTCAATGTCAATCAAATCCGTCTTTATTTACCTGTTCTTCAGTTATCAGTTAAATGCACTATCTAGTGGAAATATAATAAGAAATAGAAAAATCGTTATAGAAGTTTCCGAATCGGTACAATTATACATGCAATTATATAATATAAACAATCCATTTTGTAGACAGAGCCACTATCGTATGGTATAGAGTATTGCGAGTGTCTACTATTATAATATAACATATAACATAATATAAATATACCTACAATATACAAAGTTGCTATGTGGTAAATTATAAAATCGTTACAATGCTTAAACTGCACAAATTGCTTTATTGGATACGCGTGCACACTCACGTCGTTTATATTTCAATAGTATATATCATTACGTCATTACCATCCCCATCGCGAGCGTGACGTGACCTTACGTACATCCTTTATGCATAACCCGTGTAGCAGACGAACCATATTATTATGTAATACTACAGCACACCTAGTGCCAATTTGTTGTTGTAAGCTTTTTCTTATTATTATCACTATTATTATTTTATTAACAAAATTCATATAACATCATAAGTGTCACTTAAGTATGTTCAAGCAACTGAGCGGTACGAGAAGTACGTAAWATATAGATTATAGGTGCTAATTTGAAGAGTACATTTCGCATTATGTTTATACGTAGAACAGTTATCGTTACTCAAATTAAGGTCATACAATTTCCAAAATGAATTTCTTATAATAATTGGCAGTGGATATCAAAATTGTACAGTATACCGCGATCGACCATTCCATTTACATGAAAATACGTAGTGATGTGTCAAGGTTACTTCAGATCCATGACTAGGAGATGTGCATAGAAAAAGAAATAATGAATTATATTTTCGTGGTAATTGAAAACTCGTAATTATATCTAAGACAAAAGAATAATATCTTATAAATTCACATTATATAATTAATCTTAGTTTTCTTATTCGGCCAAAAAAATGGAAATAAATTGTACCTATATCACTCATTTAGTATTGTGAGCTACAGTACGATCATTATATCATTAAGAAATGAAAAGTTTATTACGATATTTGAAATGAATACATTTCTTTCAATTATGCGTAAATATTCAACATATAAATATTATTTTAAGAATGGAAAATAAATAATAGATTTAAGTGTTTACGCTATAGTTCACAACCGTTTTTCACTATATTGAATCATAACGTTATTCGAATTTATTATTTTATTATATTATGCACATAAAAATGATTATGAATCTTTAATACAAATAGTATCCTTCAATTTGTGTTCAGTTAAATAATTCTTGCTAGTTTATTTACTGAAGTACTTAATTGTACTTACTTATCATGGTTGTAGGTACCTATTTTTTTTTCATGTATCATAGCGTAYTACTTACTCTTCTAACTTTTCTTAATGATACAAGTCATTAAGTGTGACTGTTTGTACATTTTTACTTTCATTTAATACGATTTAAGAATTGCTTTTCTCAAGGTAGTAGTCACAAATGTTTTGCTAAAAATTGAATGGATTTATCAGATAATTTGACTTTTTCGGCAAGGTGTTGCTTTATTTGCCCCTCTAGTCACTACTGTACTGCTTTCGCACTAAATTGTGCATCAAAACTTTATTATGTTGTTTTTATGTATATGCATTTTAATTATAAATATTTAAAAAATAAAATACTCTAAAGATTAGATCAAGCTTGTAAATATATATTATTTTGCATGCAATTTATTTTATTTCATCAAAGCTAATGTAAATTAGTAAATTATTGTTTAAATCTAGATTATAGATCTGATTATATGATTTATCTATAGATTATCTATTTATATATTGTGCAATGAAAATATATTTCCATATATCTAATTAAACATTGGTTTTGGTTAAATGGTAGGTACTAAGAATATTCATTTTCGAGTTTCAATTACATAAAAGTTAGCGGAAGACTTGATTTCTTTTATCGTTAATATTTTAATTGTATAAATTATTGGAATTTTTCGCATCAAATGATCAGTTTATCAATGATATTCTGATTTTAAAGTCACATTGGCTTTAATTTTATTGACAAATTGTAGGCGCCTGTTTAAAGTTTAACGTTATTTCGTAGGTATAATTAAAAAAATTATTGATCATCTATTATTGGGTAGATACAAAAAAAGAATTACTCATACCTAATCAGTTTTAATATTTGTCCCTATTTTTTTAATTTTATTATAATACAGAATATTTTATTGAAATCTTATCGAGTTTTAACTATATTTGCCCTTTCTTTAAACTTTCAAAGTCTAAATTAGTATTTTATTGACGAAATGTATTGAATGGCGGGTAATTGTTATTGTGTTATTATAAATGTATTCYACTATTATTTTTGCACCTAAAAACATCTTGAATTCAGAATTTAAATTAAGTACCTACTACCTACTTGATGTATTATGTTTAATAAATCACATACTAWAATACTGTTATTACCTGAAAGCTCTCTGAATGAATATATAATAAAGCATGGTGTAATAATTTGAATTTGAAAGGTGTATTAAAGTAAAATAATTTCTACATTACTCAGAGTTTTTAACTCATAAACTTAAATGATGATAGAAATAATTATTATTCGTATTACGAAATAAATGTACAACAATTATTAATGTTAGTCATGTCAAAAAACTTGTATATTTATTTACTCAATAGTAAAGACCAAATAATACTTTATTGAGTTCCTTTTTTGTTAAATCAAATTGTATTTTAACCATTTTTTCATTGAATATAGTATATTTTTGATAAAGTATACTTTGTTTTGGTTTAAATTAATTAGATACTTTATCGATTCTCCTTACTTTTATGCAAGGACGTGTATAAATTTTCACGCATTTMTCAGTTGTCAAAATCATCTACTAAAATGAAAAGTGTAACGAAACTTTCAATGACGCATGTCCTTGTATTTATAGTTTATGATTGGTACCTACCTTAAAAATCAAACTTTAAGAAGGATTATCCAAAAAATCATACATAGTTATAATAAATAAAAGTAGTTAGTTTGAAAAAGATCATATGAATTTAGTTAAAACGAATRTTATTAAGTTACAATGGACAGTAGTAGATTTATTTAAAACATTTAAATTTAATTTTGTGTGCAATTAATATGTTTTTATTTCAGTAATATTTACTGTTATGGACCATTGCTGCATGCGATTCAAATGTCTAGCATATTCCCAGATTCAAAAACGTTTGTTGACATGAAAATGAAATATTCGCCAAATGAGACTATGAGCATATTCTTGGATATGATGAAAAGAACGGGACAAAGGCCATCAAAATTAGAACTGGAGATGTTTCTCAACGAAACATTCGAAAAAGAAGGTAGTGAATTCGAAATTTGGGATCCCTCTGATTGGAAGCCAGAGCCCAAATTTATTGGTGATATTAAGGACTCAAATTTCCAAGAATGGGCTAGAGGCTTGCACTTGTTATGGAAACTTCTCGGTAAAAAAATTAAAGATGATGTACGTTTACATCCCGACCATTATTCAATCATCTATGTTCCGTATCCTGTTATTGTACCTGGTGGCCGATTCCGTGAATTTTACTATTGGGATTCGTACTGGATTATTAGAGGTCTGCTACTATCTGAAATGTATACTACCGTAAAAGGAATGCTTAGCAACTTTTTATCGATTATTAACACCTACGGTCATATTCCAAACGGGGGTAGAGTTTATTATGCAATGCGGTCTCAGCCCCCCATGCTGGTACCAATGATGAAAAGTTACATCGAGGCTACAAATGACACAACTTTCCTTAAAGAAAATGTAGATATACTGGAAAAAGAATTCAGCTATTGGATGTTAAATCATACAGTAGACATAGAAAAAGATGGAAAAGTATACACATTGGCCAGATATAARGATTCGTCAACAGGACCCAGGCCCGAATCATACAGGTAATTAAGTTTTGAATTTAATAAAAGTTWACTCAAAATTAATTTATAGTTTTGAAAATATTAATTCGAGTTACAAATTATTTCTGATTGAACATACTATCAACGATGAACTAATAATTTCAAATAATTAAATTTTTCCTATGGCCATATGTGCAATGTGCATCTTTATATTACCCATTTGCCTTCAAATTATAAATATTTACTTAGAATATTATTAGTRCCTGCATCTCAAATATTTATTTAATAATATTTTGTATTTTTATAGGGAAGATATCATGAGTGCACAAACACTGAAAACCGATAACGATAAAGAAAACTACTATTCTGAACTAAAAGCCGCTGCGGAGTCTGGGTGGGATTTTTCTAGTAGATGGTTCATACTAAATGGAACAAATAAAGGTAAATAACTGGCTAGTGTTTTATTTATAATTTACAAGATTATTTATACTTCCAAGTTCCAGTAACGCTAAAAATCGTTCACGGTATGTTGTGCTTTCCGTGTTTGCTTAAATATSGGTAAAAATCACATCTACTGTAATAGTTACAACGAAATTTATATCTATGACAATGAAATAAAAGCGCCTAGTCATACGTTTATTTTAAAACAATAGTTTTGAACTCAGTGTACTGACTCTATCTGTACTTAGCACTACCGGATATTTTTTCTTGTATACCTCAAGGTTATATTWTGTATATAGTTTTTCTTTTCTGATTATTTATTTATCATCGTTAATTTTTTCAGAGTAAATTTTTTTATAAAATCATGACTTAGTCAACCATGACCTGTGGTCTCCATTAAGATTCATATCGAGGAACTTTTACTTTTATTAATGTATTACTATTATATGTAGTATAGTTTTCAATTTTTCTACTATAATATAATATATGGGTTTCTATAGGAAATTGTTGTATATATTTTGCCCTATAGAACCTATGCAACGCTTGTGCCGGAAATGTAGTAAATAACAATACCTTATTATTTGCCTATAGTATAAAATCTATTGTTTGAAAAATAAACGCTATATTATTAAATAGTAGTTTAAATTTTAAAAAATCTCAGTTTTATTTTATTTTGTTTTGTTTTGACTTACCTGGTATGGTCATAATAACACTTAACAAACAAATTAACTTTTCTAAAAACACCAGTTTTTTATTACTTTGACGAATATATTTTGTCTACACAAAATAATTTAAATGAATAATTTGTGAAAAAAACATAAGATGTGTTTAATACTCATACAATCATAGTATTATTTCATAATTTTATAGAATTACAAATTCAATTCGAGTCTTCGTGGCTCCTTAAACATATTACTTAATTATTACTACATAATAAATTTGAACCAAACCAGTTAACATAAATCTTTATGTCTTCATAAGATTTTAAATATAGGTGACTTTAATATAATATTAAAATTTCAATTRCAATATACTTACAAACTAAATAATACAAATTAAAAATATTTAATCATTAAATTTATAATTTAAATACTTTTATATGAATATAAATACCTATTTAAACTTAGTACTATAAATAGAAATCTAAAACCATTTTTTATCATATTTTTTGTATAAGTACTATTGTTTATACATTGTATATTGTTACATTAAATTATAAATTATATACCTTTAAAAAATTGTCAAAACGCTTTTTAATACTCTGTATTGATGTATTATCGCATACGGTATAAATTATATAATACCTACCTACACTATTATAAAAAATATCTTGAATATTATGAATTTTGAAACAAAATATTTACTTTTCAGTCTTCGCGAGAAAGATAATATTTAATCTAACGATTGATGTGTAAATGATTTTTCTTACTTCGTCAAAAATGTACTAATGGAAAAAATATAAATTTAAATGTTCGTTAATAATTTAATTTATACTATTTCAAAAAAATATTAAAACARCGCTCATTTAATAAATTTTATTAATTATCATTAAATCAAATATCTATTAATTTTAGATTCTGTGTATTGATTTCAATAACTATTGTTACGACTTAATTGTAGATTACAAAATGTTGAAATGTACTTTACATTTTGAAAATACACTAGCTATAATACTAATAAATGGTAGATATTAGTTGCAAGTATATCATAAAATACATATAGGTACTTATTTTACTTCTGAAAGATCTGTAGTATCTAAAAAATGGGAGTGAATTATATATAAATTCATGTAAATTACAAATTAAGTTTGAATACAAATTAATAAAGTATATATTTTTTTTTAAATATGCGCATCATAAAATTAAAGCAAATAAATTTTATAAATTATCATGACCTTGAAAATATGYTACTCTATATACATGTTCAATTAATGCTTGCATTGTTGGTCAACAATTAAATCAGGACTAGGTTCATTGTTGGATTATTTTTGTTAACGTAGGTATAGGCAAGTTTATTACATCAAAATGTATTTGTGTTGCTCCTATAGAAAAATTGTATCCTTTTAGGACTATTTAAAATTAAAACGAAATTGAAAGTACCTACATTGACTTAGTATAGAACTACGTTTGAGGGATTAATATTTCAATGAAATTAAGARCTATCGTAATTAACTAGATATTTAAATTTATAATACCAGAATATTAAAGGTCATTTTTACAATAATTGTTAGATACACGATTTGATCATAGTTTTTATACAAATTAAAATTTGGTATATAAAGTAAATATTTCTAAACCATTTCTAAGTGTGTTGTATAGTCGTGTATACCACATATTATAATAATGTCTTGCGAATAAGACTAAATAACTAACAATTATACGTCACCCTGTGTACCTACATTATACTATATAAATGATGTGCACCTAAAATGTATCATCTTGTTAATTATTTTATGTTTTGCTAAAAATATGAGCATTACAATTAATGTGAGACATGATTGTTTTTATTTTATTTTATTTTTATCTACTAAACTTAATTATAACTCGAATTTGCTTTGATGGTGCTTACGATATTTCAATAAATAGAATTTAATCACTTCAGGTATGTTCGAAATAATTTACGATTTTTATAATCCTCCCATCGAAAATAATTTTAATTTAATTCCTATTATTATTATTTACTATGTTTTATTTAATCRGTTTCAAAAAAGAACAATAAGAGTAACTGAGATAATAGAGAGTAATAAAAATAATAATAAAACAAATATATAGATATAATAGAGCGCAGAAGCCTCCCAGTGGAGGTACTACAGTAAAAAAAAACATGAATATTAAGATTGAATTAGTTTGTCTGTAGATTTCTACACCACTTGCGCTTTAGCCGTTTGGGAGGATTTCCAGGGATAGTCAAGAAAGATATATCATGCACGAGTGGGTTTCTGTACCTAGTTTAAGAGGCGGTTATGGAATCTTTTGTAGTGTGTTTTAGCCGTCTGCAACAAAGGTTATGTAGAGGTCGTGATGGAGTGCGTGGATTGGAAACGTATAATAAGGTGCTTTAGTGATTTGTCTTAAAGTTTTGAATTGATAGGTTTGTATTCTATTGATGTTAGTAGGTTTTCCTGACTCTCAGAACTGTATACCATAGACCCATATTGGTTTAAATAAAATTTTGTACATAAAGAGCTTGTTGTTCAGAGGAATATGTTTAGAGGTCAGTAGGTGTTGTAGTCTACGGCTACGATCATTGAGCGTAAAACGTTTGGAGCGTATATGAGAAGCCCATGTAAGCCGGCGCTCTAGGGTTAGTCAAAGATATTTGACGTTTTTAGAGTAGGGTAGATGTTGATTATTGAAGAATAGTTGTGGATAGTCTCTGGGGCGTAGTGTGATGGCAGAGTAGAGCGATTTCGTTTAGTTTAATTTCAGGCCCCATTCTGTGTACCATGAGGCTARTAGGTCAAGATAAGTTTGCATAAAAGAGGCAGCTATGTCTGGGTCAAAGTGGAATGCAAGTAGTGATTTGCCGTCCAAAAATTCGGCTACTATTGTGTTTTGAGTTGTGAGTTGGTCCGCGGTGTAGATGTTAAAAAGGAATGGTGCAATAACTGCACCTTACTGGACACCGGCTTTTATTTTAGAAATATTTGAAAAAGTTGTTCCTGAGCGCACAGAAAAGTGGCGATTACTAAAATATGATTTTATAAGTAAAAATAAGTATGGGAAGGGGGGGGGGAAATTGCTTTAATATTTTGGAGGAGCCCTTGGTGTCAAACTCGATCAAATACCTGTTTAATGTTCAAGAAGACTCCTATATATGCATATGAGCTTTTCTTACTTATTATTTTGATCTGCCAAGTATTTCGATTTATTTGACAGATAAATAATATAATWAAATTAAAATAATGTTGAAATTTAATACATTGATGGAAAAATGTATTAAATACAATTTTCTCAATTGTATTACTCAGTAAATGAGTACTCATGAGTAATGCTGCACTTTATCGGATAATATTGTAATAGACCAGTATGCGCGAAAACGTTGCACATAATAGCTAATTTCATTGTATGATTGCAGGAAATCTGACCAACTTGAAAACACGGTTCATCATTCCGGTGGACTTGAACGCTATAGTGTATTGGAATGCCAAGATATTAAGTGATTTCTACCGAGAGCTGAATGTGTCTGACAAGGCACTGAAGTACGAAAACATCGCCAATAAATGGATAGAAGCAGTGACGGCGGTTCTATGGCACGAGGAAGTAGGTGCATGGTTGGACTACGACATGCTGAACGAAATCAAGCGTGATTATTTTTACCCAACCAACATATCACCTCTATGGACTGGCTGTTATGACCCAAAAAAAACCGAAGACTTTGTGTCCCGGACGCTTAAGTACTTGGAAAAGACACAAATAATGAACAACCTGGGGGGCATACCAACTACCCTGGAGCATTCCGGTGAACAATGGGACTACCCGAATGCATGGCCCCCACTCCAGTACATAATGGTCATGTCACTAGACAACTCAGGCGATAACTGGGCGCAGGACTTGGCGTTCGAAATAGCTGAAAGATGGATGAGATCCAACTACAAAGCATACAACGAGACCAACGCCATGTATGAAAAAGTAAGTCCTGGTTGATTTGAGTGAGGTAAAAAATTTATCAGGTTGACAGTTGAGGGGATACTGTTCAGTGTAAAAAAAAAAATATTATAAATATTTAACCATACATTTTACTAAAGCCTTTTTAATTATGATTTGATCATTATTATTCAAAACGATTGTTACCATGATAAAGGTATACATCGTAAGGTTATTTAAAACAAATCTTTAAAATAGCTATAAAAATAACATTAGGAACACATCAATTAGCCTGCTAGTAAATTATTAAGAATTGTGTTGGTGGTGACGGGTTTCATGTAAGACGTGGATACAGTAATTTTTATTTTAATACACACAACTATATCTGTAGACTTATTTCTGCTCTCTCAATGAATTATCTTTTCGTCGATTATCGGTGTACTCATACATGACGTGTTTGACAGTACGATGCGACCGTACCCGGAGGTCACGGCAGTGGGGGTGAATATGAGGTGCAGCTAGGTTTTGGCTGGACCAATGGCATAATCTTGGAGTTCCTTCAGAAGTACGGATCCAGGGTTACAGCTGAGGACAAATTCATCGAGGCGCCGCAGACCAGCGCCAACATAGGCTCCAGCTCAAGCAGTACTGACTACAACACCAAGACCGTGTCTTCGGCGACACAAGTCATGACTGCCACACTTGCAATACTGGCCACGATATCGGCCGGATGCATAGGGTGAGGTGAGTGTCATTTCTATTTTTTTGAACCTATTTTTACTTCCTAAAAAGTCTAAGTTAAAAAAGCGCGTGAAAAACAAAACATATCATTATTGAAAAATCATCACACTAATTTTCTTTCTTTACATTCAAAATATAAAAATCATTTCAAAAGTAATCACACCATCGCTTCCACAATAATTCAGAGTTCTACAGAAAAATTTCAACTTAATTTTTTGAATTACAAGTTTTAAAAATTGCTTAATAGGACATTACATCAGCGTTTGTTATATTTGTCTATATCTTACAAACGTAACAAATTTTATTAGGGGTCGCCAATAATTTTACACCAAATGAAAAAGTAAATTTATATTATAAATTTACATAATCTTGGTAGGAATGGGGGTTGTATTATTAAATAAATAATTTTGGGGGGTCGTAGATCAAAAAAGGTTGCGCACTACTGCAGTAGATCACAGGATGCATGATGGTTTTACTTGGTATGATATATGGGCGTAATTAAGGGGGATGAAGGAGATAGATCCTTAGACAGATAGAACCCACCAAAWTTTTTATTTTACTGCTAACATTTTATATTTAGTAGGGAAGGCTACTATATGAGGCTTACAGATTTCCCTAAAAACATATTCCCCCTAAATCAAATTCTTAATTACGCCACTGGTTTGATGGCATATATTATGATCATTAAATAGTAAATACTGAATTGCGAGTAGGTTTAGATTATAAATATGGGAGTGTAATGGATTTTTTTTTGATTTTTCATAAAATATGTACTTTTTTTTTTACAGATAATATTTTGACATTTTAATCGTCTATAACTTTAGAAAATTTTAAAATTTTAAAAAATGTTTCTCTTCAAGACTTGATAAGTAGCATCAACTTAAAACTTTAAAATGTATTAATAATAAACGAGCTATTCATTAATGTTAGAATAGGCAGTTTAATTACTTAAATTTTTGCTTAAAAAAATCAAATCAAACTATCAAAAAGTAATATTTAAAAGAGATTATATCATAATATTTATAGGAACCATAAAAGYGTGATTCCCGTGAAACATGTAGGCAGTTTTCATTCGATAAATATAARCTATACATACGTTAGCCGGCTAGCAAAATAATTAAAATTAATCGTTTATAATTAATATTATTATTATTTTATAATAATAAATGTGTTCACTCGCCAGATAAGGTGTGTCAAATGTCATCAATATGATTTAATGAATTTTACGGTATATTATTTCATCAGCTTATTATAATAACTATTATATAGTATATATTACTACTATGATTAATAATTATGTCTACTTYGCAGCTATATTCTATAGTAATCATTATAGAAGCGGTTGTATATACGATCACAATGGTTTTACTTTTTCTACGTAGGTAATTTTTCTTCAACCGCTTACCCATTTTACGTCAAACGTGAAACGAAACAATGTCTTATCGTTATCAACAGCTGTTATATTATTAATAGTTCACTAATATTATGCTATACACTATAGGCGCACATTAAGTCTTAAACTTGGGAGTGGTAAAATCTTTTACCTCAAAGTGACTAGTGGGAGATTTTGCTCTCCACACACCACCTATACGGTTWCCGGGTTACACTTACTATTTCAAATAAATTACTACATAACTACATTAAAATTCTCAAATTAATGAATCTGATTTTCAATATATCCTATAACTGATTATTATAATATTATTAAATGAACAAGTGTTGAAATTAGGGTTGTCTACATTTTCACTACTTTCATCATTTTTTTATTTTTTTTATTTTACCCAATTTAAATGTACAGGAAACATTGAAACAAGTAATRTAATGTGAATAATATAAAATATTRCATTTATTACTTGACATTGAATTAATAAATTGTTGGTATTTATGCAGAAMAATGGAAATAATAATAAAATAAAATAATTTAATATCAGTGAAGTTGTCACTGAATCAAAAACATCATATTAAAAAACTACTAACTAAGAATAGATGGCTGAACATTTCTATACTATCAAACTAAATAATTTTAGTTTATATCATTATTTTCATATCAATAAATCATCATTCCGATAGACATTGCAGTATACGAAAACAACATTTTTAGTAAAAATTATTGCATTACCAATATAAACTGGAAATWATTCATTCTAAATGCAAAATTACACTTAAAACAAAATGATTTAATTCAAAAAAATTTGGGGGTGCTAATTTAAGACTTAGGGGTGCTAAGCACCCCCTGGCACCCCCGTAGGTGTGCCAATGTATACACACCGGTTATTATAGGAGGCGTTCAAAAGTAACTTATGTGAATAATTGTTGATATTTTTCACACAGATTAAACTACAGACATTAAATAGGTATTTTTAATACAGTTTGGACACTTACAAAATAAGAATAAAAGTTTTGAAAATAAAATGTATCGTAATACGTCAAAGGCTGAATAATACTTGCAATTTCTCTCTAAAATATCCATAATTTATATAAATTATTTTTTTTAAATTGACCCATTTTAAAATTGAATTTTCCAACAATATTCTTTTTTGGCATTGTCTCTTCTTTCACTAAGATTAGGTATTAATTCATATTTTGCTATAGTAGGCAATACGTATACATCAAAGATAATAATATCTAATAAAGGGTGAAAGGGTGAAAATTTGTTGCCACAAATTTATTAACGCAGCTCCCATATTAACGTTTCGCGATTTGACCGGCATTCACAAGCCATGCGCTCTGATATTTTTAATTTTGAGTTCGATAGTAGGTCAATCGTACAAATATTAAAGGCAGCTTTGCTCTGTTTAACGTAAATTTGCACGTTAATTAAAGTTACACGTTTGTAAAGTAGAATTTAGYGACAACACACGGTTGTAGCGTTCTATTAAATTTGTTCTAATATAAAATCAGCWATTATAGTTCGTACAACGTTTACACAATCATAATTCATAATAATGACAATATTTCAGACGCGCTCTACGGCACTAATTGGTACACTCGTACGCATTAAGTACTTTAGGTACCTAAAAATATTTTGTTGTATTATACATACTGCGATTAAAACGTGTTTGTAATATATGGCTATAAGATAGCGCAGTATCGAAATGAGCACGTGCAATGGTACAAAACTAAAATATTATTGTCAAAGTACGTTTTCCCGCCGCAGCCGCTATTTGAGTATAGGTACTATAAGTAGGCATTGTCAGTGTAGCTAGATTTTTACATGTTCATGACTTTCGTGATTTTATGTTGTTTCCTCTACAAAATACAAACAATAAGTACCAAAATGTCTTATACCCATACATATAATATACATACACCTATGGCTAATGGCTTATAATATTATTTTTTTTAGTTATTTTGATAAAAGATATTTTGGTATAGAGCTGAATTACATCGAATAATAGCCCTTTAAAATATAATTCACCTCTTAAAAATTGTTTTTCATCAACTAAATAAGTACATACCCATTACCCAATGTGGCAMTGTCTATGTATTAATACAATAACAGAAATAATGATAAAACACGTTTTTCAGAATATATATTTWAAAAAAAACATTCGTTGATCATTAAATAGATAATAAGTTTTTTATCATTGTGCTTTAAACAAAAATATATTAATATTATAATATTAGGTAGGTACCATTAATGCAATTTTGCTAAAATTAAATTCTTTCTATTTATATTAGTCACAAATAATAAAATTATGTACAGGATASGTCAATCATGCTCACCCCTATTTTTTTATTAAGTGATGAATTTATTCAAATTCCGACTTTTGAAATTTTGAAATATAATTAAATACCATTTTTTTCAAATTATCCTCTAAATAATTTACAGTAGAAATGAGAGAACTTAAATAAAAAAACGAGTTTGTATCTCCACCACAGGACACTCCGTTAGTTAAGTAGGTAGTATAAACTATAAACATATCTCAAGACTTCAAAAATATGTTGTTAAAGAATATTTAAAAATTATAATTATCAGATTTTGAATATGAATTAAAGGGTGGGAACACTTAGTGAATCGCTCTGTATAATTTTATTGATTGTTTCAAATACCTACCAATGTACGGCAATACACGAACGTTCATCTGTCAATACAACATGCATTGCATTATTGTAATCGCTTGTCATAAGACATTAAATTCTGCTGAGCCTTATAAATTACGTATGTTTATAGTGTTTATACGTAAATTATGTTTGTTCATGACATTTTCTTAAAATAAATATATAAATAATTTTATTCTTTCATGTTTCATTATTATTTTTTATAAGAGATATTTTAAAGTCAAACGTGTATAATTCAAAACTTTATTAACTTGAAATTGTCCATACCACGACATTTTTTTCCAGTCCATATAATTTTCTATTAAAAAAAAAAATAAAAACGCATATTTAATCCAAAAGTCTCGACGTTTATATTTCATTAAGATCGGTCTGTAACAGGTTTATGTACTATAGTACCTAGTACCTTCTATCAGAAATAAATTCATTAAAGTTATTGTATACGATTACAAATTTATCTTACTGTAAGTTAATCACTCACTTATCAACTCGTTATATACTCACTTTTTCAGCACTTGATAAATTTGAACAATTACTGCACAATAACATGCTATTGTAACAGCAACAATTGTAAAACAAAAATAACTCCTTTTATATTAAAATATCAAATATATAAATAAGGTGATACTAATAATATATTATAAATATAGTGTTCAAATTTAGTTGGGTAAGTTTTAGAGCATTTATGGCAGGKAGACTATATACATAGCCACATAGGCATTTACTTACTGCTGTTTCACACGTCGTTTACAGCTCGGAAAAAATAAGCAATTTCATAATAAATAAAATGATAACGAACAACGCCCGRAATGACATACTCGCGTATGACATTATATACAATTTAATTTGACTACAACATCGTTGTTTAATAATAATGGTGCACATTTCTTAGGTAGAATAAAACACTAAACTTTCATTATTACTCATTCAATTGRTATAATGATTACAATAGTGATATTAAAATTTAATGAAATAATTTTAATTTATAAACGAATTTATTATATATATATATATATTGCATACAATATCGATTATTATATGCCAGGCAATGCCAAAACTATGTATTTAATTACGGGGGTCTAAACATATTTTACGCAGCCCAGTTAAAATATAATTCTGAAATAAGTACMTAAACAGTTTAATAAACATAAAGGTACCTATCAAAAATGCCCAGTCGGGTCATAGATCCTACAATAAATTAGTAAGTTAAAAATAATATTTATGATTCATAACAATATACAATATTTAAAATCAACCCATCATTAGCTCAGTATGACTGAATGGCTCCATAATTTGGTAGCACCCCCAGCACCTCCGAGTATTTTTAGGACTTTCATTAAGTGATCAATTCATTCAAATAAATAATTAGATAAATATATACTTATATAATATATATTATGTCTGTATATTTTTTTCTAGGGAAATAGAAAAAAAAAATTTGTGCTACCTATATTTTTAAGCATTTTTATAGGCATTGTTATTTATTTATTTTTTAGAATGGTAATTTTTTAAACTAAACCAACTAATTGATTTTTTTGTGTATTTTCTTTGTTTCAGATGTTTACAAGTTAAATTATGTAGTTAAATTATAAGAACATTCCCTTATGAAAAGTCGGAAGGATCTCTTAATTATCAGGTCAGACGTATTTAACAAAGAGGTTTACTTAGTTGATCATTAGTTTCTTTATTTGTGCTATCACATTAGCCTAATTATTGTTTTTTTTTTTTTGTACATGTGAGTTAGTGTTATGCTTTAATTTATTGGCACATGCAAGTTTTATATGGTCAAAAAAAGTAAAATAATTTACATCTAAAAAAACATTACCGAGCAATACGGAAAGACCAACTTTGAATGGATAGTAGTAGATCAAAAAGTAGATCCTAAAGTTTAAATCTGAACTTACTAGTGGTTTTATCATGATAATAATAATATTTTAAATATTAACTATTATTAATTAATGGAGTTTAAGTTCCTTCGAGCAATCATATTTCTGTGAATTCAACCAAATCGATTATAGAGTTGTTTGCACAGTAGAATATTTGCTTGACATTTTAATTGAAAAATAAAGCAAAGTGATGTAATACGTTAAGGTTTTATAAATTATAAAATATAGATTAACACGTTTTAGTGAGATTTAAACGAAAAACAAATTGCGCGCCTAACTCAGTCTAATGAGTAACAAAATGTGTACATGCCTCGTATAGTCGGTTTATAATTTTATATGTTTCATTCTCTTTTTTTTAATTTATCGTCATTTTTTCAAATTATTTTTAATTTCTGAAATGTCCATGACATTTGCCTCTTATGATATATACATACATTTTTAAATAATATATTAAATATTTAGGTATACTTTTATCGTAAATTMGTTCTAATCACTCATTTAGAAAAATACATATAACTTATAAATATCAATGTTATGTGGTATCGTAAATATACCTATCTGTGCTTTTTTWAAATTGTTATTTCATGGTAGGTAATATTCATAATATTTTTATGCATAAATTGACATATTTTAATATTTATTTATTTATTTTCTATTATATACTTGGCGTAAATTAATGTTAATTTTCATAAATTGAATGATATTGTTAATAACGTTTAAAGAAAAATAAGGTTCTTCGTTTGAATGTTAAAATATTATATACTTCACGTGTTATATAACCGTATCCATTACACAATGGTTGTCTCAATAAACTACATAATTTTTCATAACAACAATAATATATATATATATATATTTTACAATAAATTTATAATTATTTCGAATGTGATAAATAGGTATAAACTCGTAATACTCATAAGTTAATGCCATCGTAACATTTCACACACATTCCATAATTTATGTTATAAATTATAATAGAGGTATCTGTTTCTTAATTTCCGCGTGAACGATGTAATATTTGTTAATAAAAAAWAGAATTGGTGCTGTGTAAGACTATATCGAAATAATTGGCTCAAGTTAATTTTTATTGTTGTATAATTATTTTRTTTTGTTTTTAACATAAAATTTCTAGTGCAAATAGGGTTTTGGTTCGAAATAATTATACCACTTCCAAGTAGTTCCTATATAGTAGAATCCTAGTAATTTTAACACAATAATATTAACCAATAAATCGTCATTAACATTTTAACTCTGTTTTTAACATACATACATATATATATATATACATTTCACACAAAATATATACAAATATTATACACATTGTATGTATTTCATGGGTTATTTTTCACTTTCGCAATGCAATCGAATCTAGTCAATCGTCAATCATTTATAAAAACATTAAAAAAATACAGGTATAATTACTCATTTAAATTTATAATATTCATACAATCATCCAATAAACCTGTATACTTCATTTGAGTACAATAAGACGTACTACCGCTCACCAATACGAAATAAAGAGTGGGAGAGAAGGAATTGTTTAAAATTCGAGTGCAGCGGAAAGGGAAAAATAATCTAAATTTTCGGACTTTTTATACGAAGGAAAAAAGTTAAATTTTTTTATAACACACATACCGATTTCATAATGTCCGGCTTAATGGCAGTTGTTTTATGCATACATACACACACACGCAACAAGAACGATCCATGATTGTATAGAAAGCAGCTTGATTATAAAAAAACCCTCTCCTTTCGCTTAATTCGAGTTATTATAATGTAATTATTTTTTTAAATTKTTTTTGTAGTGACGTTGAAAGTTCATAAATTTTCAATTATACATTTAATAATACATTTAATTTAAATTTTCGTCACAGTTTATTTATTTATTTATTTATTTACTAGTATAATTTTTTCAACAAACACACACAGTCACAGACAAACTTACATACATTTATATATACTGAGTACAGATATGCACACATTCATACACTATATATATATATATTATCTATGTATGTCTAATCTGTAGTTCAAAAGCAAAATAATACCGTTTTTATGTCACCTTCGCATAAATATTGTTTAATGCATTTGACCATATGACTTATCTTGCCGATTCGATATAATAATATACGATCGCAACGTAAGCCAATTAGCGGGAATTATATCATGTGCAATTATTCAATAATTTATTCTATCATATGTATATGTGTTATAAGACATTTTATTTATAAAAGAGAAAAAWTAAATAGTAAACATTTTGCGCACCGATTTGTACCTGCTTGCTTTGTTACCATTTTTAATTTTAATTTAATAATAATATTATATGCATCAAAATTGTATGTATATATGTATTGTATAATATATTATCCATATATACATAATTGTATTATTTGCACTGTTATAGGCTTATATTTAGTTTGTTTTTAATWATTATTGTATGCTAAACATGTTCATTGATCATCTTTTAAAAGTGTACCTATCTAATCTAATATATTAGTAATTATAAAAATTATTATATTTTTATCGAAAGCCTGTATTTTATAACGTTTCGATTAGTATTTGTAAGAGTTGGCTTTTGATTGTTTTTTCCCTCTTGTTTCTCTACGATACTTGTATGATAATTATTATTACTATTATTATTTTTATTATTATTACTATTATTATTTCGCTACTATCATTATCCATTATGATTAAATAATTTAATTTAGTATTTATAATATATTAGAGAATGGATATACTTATTTATTTAACAATGTTGTACAAAACGCGATGTGATCACGTTGGTTCGGCTAGGTACCTAACCATTCATATTACATTATAATAATTATGTGCATTGCGCGCGCGCAATACATTGCAGTCGTTATATTCATATTATTATAGTGACATTTTAAAAATCCTAACAATATTGACGTATATTAATTCCTATTCGBCATTTGCTAATAGGTAATACGTATAAAGTACCTATACTACACATATTGTATTATTATTATTATTATTATTATTATTATTATTGTAATATGCTGTAACAACTAACAGCTATAATAACTGGCTACCGAACCAACCGTACGTCTCATCGTATTTTTTTTATTATTATTATATTACCGTTAACATTTTTTTTCTAGTAAAGTTTGTTGTGTTTTTTTTTCGTTTTCACCYATAACATGATAGTATATTATATATTATATTACCTATATTAATACTAATGCATTATACATAATTTATAGCGTAGTTTGGGCCGGCAATTGTTGTACGAATCCCTCGGAAACGTTGTCGGAGGTTTGTTTGTAGTCTCACAGTGACGTTTACCAAATAACTTGTATTGTATTATATAATAATATATGTATGTACATTGTACAAATACATATAATATTATTATTTGTATATTTATTTATTTTTTCATGTAACTCAATTCCAAATTCAAAATATTACATTTATACATAGGTATAAACGTATTGTACGTACTTCTACACTTGCATGTGTGAACTTATAAATTCAATGTTAATATTGTATCATTGAATTTATTCATGAGCACACATATTACTGGATGTTGTCTTTTAAAGGTACCTACTGGGCTGTGAATTTAGTGCTCTAAAAAATTGTAAGCATACATTTATAAACACTAAAAATTGGCCAATAGATAAGCTCTATAAAAATCCCAAAATGTATTAAAACATTAAAAACAGCAATAGGACATAAAAATGTATTTATATTTCAAACAAAAATTGAATAATATAAAAGAAAACATTGAWTTAAAATAACATTAATATTAACAAATAATACAAATTACAACTTTTTTTTAAAAAGATCCTAGTTTTTTTGTCWATGCTGTGGTAGGAAAATATAATTTCGTATACTTTCTTATAACATATTTTTATTAAACTCAATTATTGCTTCTACAGAATAGCGAAAAAAACAAAGCATACAAATTCACAGCCCCGATTACATATGTATTTACTATTCTTACGAATGTGGACATCGGACGAAGAGTAATTAACATCATAATAATATCGTTTTTGACCATGTGTGTTGCATTACCAATCATCATGTTACGTTTGCCTAAGTAGTATAGTAATCTTGATCTCATAATATTATAATATTATTTAGCGCTTCGATCTCAAAAATATATTATGCCTACTAGTTGCAGAGTGCAAACGCATTCAGTAGTGTGTACCTACTGGGTATAATAGTATAATACATTGTGGTTGTATACAACAATAACAATAATATACCTATGATTCCTTTTAATAATAATATATACTTACCTACTTAGTTTTGTGCATGCTTAGTTGTCGGTGGGCAAGCACCGTTGTTGTTACGTATAGTTCAGGCTTAAATCATTCGCTGTTCACCATACACACATACATTACCGACATCATCTGCAGGTAATATAATAATAATTCATCTATAATATAAACCTATTACTAAATAATATTGTTTTATAGTTTTTAAATATTTTAATGAGGGTTGTATGCGTATTATTATTATTATTAGTATTTAAAATTGTATTACCTTCGGTGGAGCTGTGGCATTTTGCATAATGCCGTTTGTCAAATTGACAGAAATAAAAAAACACTCCCTGCACTGCGACCCCGAATAGGCGACCCCTACATCGCCATTTGAGACGGGATTTCGATCCCGATTCATTTRTAATATTATGTTATTAGTTTTTGGAAAAATGTATTGCGACTAATCGATTAACAGAGAGAATAATGTATAGTATTTAATATTATTAAATTCGCCCAACCGTAAAAACAATTTCGCTGTTCTTGATTGACAATATTTTTTAGCTGACTAACAATGCGATTTACAGCGAACAACGATGAATAATTTTTTTCGTCCAACAGATAARTCTAAAGAATCTTAATATGTAAGAAAGTGGTTTACTCTCGGCGAACATTTTCTATTGGTTGATTGTTATCATTGATAATGAACCTCGTGGTCGATTGATTGAGTCAAATTTTTTATAACCGCCATTTTTTTTACACGATAATTTAATTTAAATAATATGTAATCATGAAAATTATTTGTCCATTATTATTTATTATTCACATGGTTTTTTTGTACCATAATAATGTAATATCAGTATTCATATTTTGAATTTATATAGTTATGTATTATGAACAAATATAATATATTAAAGGTAGGTACTTACCTACCAATAGTTAGTACACCCATACGACATTTCCTATATTGGGTATGCATAATTGTTTAATATTTTATAAATTGGCTGATATATAACATCATACTGTATAATATATACTTTTTAATTTAAAAAAATGTGGGAATTGTTTGGACGATTAATGGCTGCTATAACACCAGTTGATCACTCTCTTATATGTTAATGGACTCTCTASATAAATTGTTTGCACAATTATATTGTTGTGGACGTTAATTTATTATGTAGATGTCATTCGGTASTGCCGAATGGAGTCTGTGATTAAACCAAAGCGTTTTGTACGTTTCGCGTGTTAGACTGCCTRCAATATAATATTACTGCGATTTCTCTATGGCCTAGATGGAACGAGGGGGTCCAAAAATATATAWTATATAGAGAAACACCGATCACAGCCGTCTGTAGACAATTTTCAAGATGACAATTACGTTCTGCAGCGTTATCGACCCACCTCCAGAGAACGTATGTGA